TCTTCTTGACAGTTTGTCGGTCTTACCAGTGTTTTCAAAGAGCCAATTCTTTAATTGATTTTGTGTATTGCTCTTTTATCTCTACTTCATTAACTTCTTCCTTAATTTTTGCAATTTTTAAATTTTCTACCAGTGTTGGTATTAGCTTCTTGTTTTAACCAGTTTCCTTAATGCACATCTTAACTCAAAGAGCACTTTGGAAGGAATGACTCTTTGCTACCCTGTTAAGCACCTGACTCTGGTCCTCAATCTTTGGCCTGTAGGTACTTATTAATTAATTAGTTGCTTTTTTTTGAGACAAAGCTTATTAGGTTACTTATTCACATTGATCTCTCCTAGCTCATAAAATGAACTCCATGGTAGTGAGAACCTGTCTGTGTTATTCACACAGTGCTTCATCTTTTGGTAATTATTTGAATTATTCAGCATTTTAAATTATATCTTTCAAAATTTATTTCCAATAAAGGAAAATCCTGACTGATTTTCCCCCAAGCTTCAAATTTTAATTTTTAAATAAAAACTATTCCCCAACTTTGAAAATAAGCCCCAACTTCAATGTGTAGGTCAAAATTTGTTAATCCTTTTTTTTTTTTCTTTCGAGACAGGGCTTCTCTGTGTTGTTTTGGCGCCTATCCTCGATCTTGCTCTGTAGACCAGGCTGGCCTAGAACTCACAGAGATCTGCCTGACTCTGCCTCACAAGTGCTGGAATTAAAGGCGTGCACCACCACCGCCTGGCTCAATTTGTTAATTCTTAATTGAAAATATTTTAAGAAAGCAGGAAAATGTACCCACCACCACCACCAAACAGAGAAACAATAACAAAAACACTGACGCCATAGTGGGAGAAATGTTGGGGAAGAAATGCTCTGGTCAGCTGTCCTCAACAGTCTTGATCAATAGCATTCTTGTGCATTTATTTTTTATCTTAATACAGTTTTAATTATCTATCTAACTTAAGTACCCTAAAGTTTCTTTCAGTAAACATAAATTTACAAATCCACACAGAGATTTGGGAGGTTATATACCTTGATCTTGATTTCTCCCCTTTGAACTTTTATCTACTAAAACATCATTTATTTTTATCTAATTTTATTGTGACATGAGTCAACCTTCCAATTATGAAACATTTCTTTTTATTTGAAAAATGTGGGGCTATGAAAGCAAGGCACATAGCCTGTTGTGACAGGAAAGGTTAAAAAACATGTTTCATTTAATCTTTAATCTTTAATCTAACATTTAGTGTGTGTGCCTGTATCAACAATGTTATGAGCATTACTGTATCTGTTGGTACAACTAGAATCATCCTAATCACTAAAGCCACCAAGACTGTAAATAAGAACCTTACTATTACATAGTTTTTGCATGGTTTTCCTCTAGAATTATTTTCTTTTTTCATAGTCAAGGAAGTAAAACTTCTGAGTAGATAATTTATTCATCTTTATTTTACACGTTCCTGTGTGCATTTTTTTTCTACCAGTAATTCTTTCTCTATGACATTCATTACATAATGACTACTTCGAATCTTGTGTAATTTCTGCTGGTGATTTCCATATCACAAATTTGGAATACATTTTATCTGATGGAAGAACCTATAGGATAATCAGGGCTTTGTTGGCTTCCCTAACTGCTTTCCAAACTTGTAATAACCTGTATTCACAGTGTCACTCAGACTCCAGTGTCCTAGATATCAGTGTCTCCCTCTATTTCCTTCTGTAGTAGCACACACCCCTGCCTGCCTCGATGGCTCACTTCACTCCTTCTGTGTGCAAATTTCCTATGTATGCTTTCTTATCTGCTTTAAAAAAGACAAATGCCCTGGCCTGCTGAAGAACAGTAATCATATAACTTAAACTCCATAGTCTTTGCCAGGTTTCAGTTGCTGCTCTACAAGCTCTTACATTTGCAATAAGCACTCACTTTGTCTTTGTGATAAACCCACCAGGGAGTATCATTATTTTACTGGTGAAGAAAGCACCACACACAGAAACCGAATGCTTGTATAAAGGGCAGCAAAAGGACAACTAGGTTAAAAATTCAAGTGTGCTAACCGCACAACCTACATTTGAAACCATGATGCCCAGCTCCTCCTTCAAACCCTTTCAGATCTTACGGCCACTGCTGTGGAGGAAAGAAATCCTTCACTCTTTCTCTACATCACTGAGTGACACTATTTGTGAAGTAACGCATTCAATAAGCTTTGGGAGAAAGAATAGACAATAGTAGTAGATCCATATTGGAGAGAAAGGGTCTGAAAATGAAAATGACCCTTGGTAAAAGACTGTGATGTTGAAAAACATGACGAATGTGGTTTTTTTGATTGTTTGTTTTCTGGGTTTGTTGTTGTTTTTGTTTTTTTGGTTTTTTGAGACAGGGTTTCTTCGTGTAGTTTTGGTGCTTGTCCTGGATCTTGCTCTGTAGGCCAGGCTGGCCTCAAACTCACAGAGATCTGCCTGGCTCTGCCTCCCTAGTACTGGGATTAAAGGCGTGCGCCACCTCTGCCTGGAAGAATGTGGGTTTCTTGCTGTTTGTTTTTTCTATTTTTTAATGTTTGTTTGTTTTCCATTCTTTTGGGGCTTGGTTTATGGAATACCTACCTATTAGACTATCTAGAAAATAAGATACTTCAGGTTTAAATGGAAGCAGGGAGGGATTAAGATGAGGAGAGTGTTCAATACTTCGAATCTTCATGAAGGATTTTCTACACCGACATGATGAATGGGTAGCTTTTGTCACTGATGGGTCATGATGACATTAGTACCACAAGGATGAGGTCTCTTATAGCTTTCCTTTTGGTGGCATGCCAGAGGTATCTTCAAAGCTTGATATTCCTGCATTACAATGAACCTGTTTAGTCATCTCACTGGGATAGGCTAACCAAAATGAAGTGCTTTGAGTTGCAGGGATGAGGGGAGAGGAAGTGGAAAGCCATGGAAGAAAGAATTGTCATTCAGTGTTTTTTTTTAATAATAAAATTGGTTATTTTTACTTAGAATACAGGTAATGCTCTATTTCATGTCTCCTCTTTCCAAGGATGAAGAAATTCGTTCCCTGTAAAACCCTGATTTTTGATTTTCTAATGATTTATTGTTTCATGACACATTCGTTCATTTAGTAAGTCAGCATTTACCAATTAGCTATGAAGGACAAGTTTCTACCTGTCTAGAACAGCCCTTGTAATTAAGTTAAAATAAGGTTAGTACAAAACCAAAATGAAGAATTATATTATTTACAATTATTATTTATAATCAAAGGAATAAATATTTTGGAATGAGTTTGCATGGTTAAGAGAACAAACGCTTTCTCACTTAAGACACATGCATGAAATGATAACAGAATCACAGTGATGTCTCAGGGGCTAAGGGTCTAGGAGGAGAGTCATTTAACAACTAACCATATCCTTTTGAACACATACACACACACACACACACACACATATTTTTGTGACACAACAAGCTCTTTATAAAAGTGTTTTCTATTGCTAACCCAGAGAGATAGTGGGTCCTTCTTTGAAGACATTTTTAACTATTCTAGAGTCCAAAAAAGATTCACTAACTTTTGTATAGAATTCTTTCAGAGCTGGAAAAATGTTTCAGGTGAACAAACAAACAAAGCACAATGCTTGCTCTGTGCAAATGTGAGGCTTGAAGTCCAGATCCTTGACACTTTGTCAATGTCAGGCATAGTGGCTTGCTAATAGGTCAATGTGAATGCCAGGCAGGCACAGCCGCTCACCTATAATGCTATTGCTAGGTAGGCAAAAGGGCTCACCTAGGATTCAATACATGAGAAGTGGATATTCTTCTAGGTTCTCTTTTGAATTGCAGAGGCATCACCATTCCCACATTGCTGCCCACAGTAACTATTCAGCTAATCTCTTCAGTTTGCTAAATGGTACTACTTTCTGCCTCTCCATGACCTGGAACATATCCTCTTGTTCAAGGACAGTTTTTACAGAACAAGAACCAACATGGTAAACTTCCAGAATTGTGTTCCTGTACAGTTTCTCCATGCATTAGATCACCCTGGACAACTCATGTCAGTGTTATCTAGTCCCAACTCTATAATTGCTCAGATTTTATCTTTACACTGCAGAACCTGACACTGGGATGGGAAAAAAATGTTAACATAATATCCTGTTTCCACAGAGCTTACCAAATTAACAGTCATTTCATGCCACCTTGAGACCTTCGCTGTGATTGGAAGCATGTGCTCTTTGCCGTGTTTGCAAACCACTGATACTATTATTATAATATCCATATTTAAGCTTATGTTCTATTTCCTTGATGTATTTGACCTTATCCTAGAAACATATTTTATTTAAAAAAATCACAGAATTGAATTGCTACAACTCTGTGTAATATTAATTATATCAAATCAGAGTTCTGAGTTCTCATTTTTGTTCATTCATCATATTGGTGATTTTTATTTTGTTAATTATTCTTCATTAAAATTCTCTTTGTGACTTGGCTGAGTCCATTCCAGTTTCATGTTCCTTATATTCAGTACAAATGATATGTCCTATATGAAGTAACTATGGCTTAAGTATAGAAGTGTGAAAAAGACAAACAAAAACAACTCCAGCGGACCAGGTCCCATTTCTGTCCCTCTAAATATCCATCTTTGAAGCTCTGCTAACTGCTGTCATTCACTACATGAAAAGAGTGACACAAATACTGTCATGTTCAGAGGTTCATCGGGATCTGAAGCCCATCAACCACATTTGTGATATTAGATCATGTACCAAATATAAAAAGAAGAAGAAAATTCAGAATACCTCTCATCATGGGTCAGAAATTATACATAGTAGTAGTAACCTCTGTGTAATACTGATAGTTCAAAGTTAAAAGTAAGTTTTAACTTTATTTTTACAGTATTTTTCTAATATTTCATTAAATATGTTCAAATGTTACCAAATATGATATAAGCTAATTATGAACTCCAGAGAAAAATCATTTGAATGTCAAAAATATTTGTCTCCGAGTCCTCCTTGTTTTTAATATGCATATTTCTCTCAAAAGGCCAGGGATCCTGGGTAGAAGAAAATGTTCCTGGAAACCATGGATGGTTGCTCTGACTACCACAGCTGTTTTGTTGGCTTTGGCAATAATCATTGGTCTTCTTGTTTACTTTTTAGTGTATGGTAAGAAAGACCCATTTTATTGTATTACTTTGGAAATTTGAAGACTGACTACATATATTTCTAAATCTTAGCATTTTCTCCAATTAGAGAATGAAATTTTCATTTGCATAAATTTGAGCAACAGTAACCTTTAATGTAAAAAATAAACTCTAATACTCAAAACCTGATGCTATTCATGTAATATCATCTTTGAATAGCACAGGAAGTTCACATGATATGCTGTTTACTGTGTGATGAAATATATGCTAACAGCAAAAATTTATTGTAGTAGAATTTTTAACTTTGCTGTCAACTTACTGTATTGTCATTAATTAATTGTTTACACTTTTGAATTGTCACCTGCTACGAAATACTGCCTATAATAGGTAGTAATTGTGTCAGGATACAACAAATAACCATGGTGGCTATGAAGATATATGATCATAAACTGGTTAGGGGGAGATACTAGCTACAGATATTGGATATTTAATTTTCTGAAGTGTACTGATTATATGACTGTCAGTCCGTTTAGTGTTGCTGCAATAAAATGCTTTATAAAATAGGATACTTTATTATTAAAAGAAACTTTAGTGATGGACAGTGATGCAGGCTAGTTTGAATGACTGCAACAAACTCCATCAAAACATGGAAGACTGTATTTTGAGAGGAGTGCATTTCAGGGTTGAGTAGTTTCTGAAAAAGAGGTCACATGGAAAGACAGGACATGAGAGACAAGGAAGAGCATGACTTTCATAAGAATTAATTACCTGTGAGGACTAACTCACTCCGTAAAACCAATATTAATCTCTGGACAATCACGATAGTCAGCTCCTCCTTTCCCCACCATGCTGTTCAGTATTATTACACGGAAGACCGATCTTCCAGTATAAAAACCATCAGAGAAAAAAGTATAAAGCCCCTACTTCTTTTGCCCAAAGGGATTAGCAGAAATTATCCATCTCTGTTCTGCCTTTCAGATCAGAAGACTTATTACTACCAGGCCTCCTTCCGGATTCCCAGCATTAAATATAGCTCAGATTTGTCCATAGAACAGTCAAGACTTCGGACAACCCTGAAAGAAAAACTCAGCAATGAGGTAAATTTGTGATTTGCTGCTATCATCATTGCTACCCTGGAAGTATGTAAGGTGGAGGGCAATAAGAGGAAACACCTGATATCAAATTCCGGCCTCAACACAAATCCATGTATACATATACAAGCATCTACATACATACATGATCTCCTAAACATGTGAATACACATACACACACCACAGGCAAGCAAAAAAAATGTAGAGAACATTGTTAGTTTGTAAATGATACAATGCAAGTCAGATTGAGCCTCTGGTGTGGAGTTTATGGAATAACTCACAGTACTAGTTGCAGATAGAGTAAACATTCTCCTAAAAGTAAATATGAAAACCAGGAACTAAATTGAATTTTGTATATTTCCTGTATAATATGTAAGTGATAATAATAATTTGTACATGTACATGGATGTATACATACCCAAAGCATGCCAGGTTCTTTATATAATAACTTGAAGTGGTTTCAATGCTTTTTATAGTAGATTTTTAAAATATTTTGTAAGTATATATAGTTTTATACTATAAATTATACATGTATAAATAAAACTGTTTTCATGAAAAAAATCCTTCTAAATAAGCTAAAAGGAAACATTTGGTCATTTGTTTTACTAACTGCTTTTGATCTCCTGATCTCCTGATCTCCCTAGTCTGTCGACTATAACATCATATGACATTTCACTGCAGAGGACTTCATAAATTAAATGAGATGAGTAAACAGCATTAATCTTACACAGCTCCTTTCACAATTTGGCAGCACTACTGAGGTTTGTGCAATGCTCAGACTCAGCTTGGTCAAGGTTAGCTTGACCGAGTCAGTTTGATGAGTCAATGATAGTAAACGGGCTTCCAAAAACCACCATCCTGCTGCCCCTGCTGCTTTGTTAAGAAATAAGTTGACCTAGGATATTTTACCACTGATAAAGTATTTCGTATAGTAAAGCCAAAATGGCATGCTGTGGCATTCATAGACATAATTTATTCTAAGTAAATATTTTGTACATTTCTCTTGACAAGTAATCAAATTTGGGGACGTGATCAAGTGTGCATCATCCTCCCAACCCCATTCTCTGAAGGATTAAAACTTCTCCTAAAACTGTTTTACAAAAACCTAAAAATTGATCTGACCATCACACTCAGAGACTAACATAACTGAGTTTCAAGGCATTGGATGTCAAGTGGATGATGAGTCCACGCATGGCAGCCTTACACAGTCTCTGGGCTCCAGCTTCTGCTTTTGAAATGTCTACCTTAATTAACTCTTTGTGCTGATCACCTTCAAATTATAGTAATTATTATATGACAGTAGGATTATGCTCAAATGAACTCCTTTGAGAAAACTATAAACAAACATAAGGTCAAAGACATTTTGTGTTACAGTGTATTTTAAATAAGCATTTTGAAATGTATACAATACTTAACAAAATTCACTTATTTTTCAGATAGATGTGATATTTCAAAGATCCAGTTTAAAGCATCATTATGTCAAATCTCAAGTTGTCAACTTCAGGTAACCACAGTTAAACAATTCACACCAGGAAAAGGCAACTTCGTGCTGTTTAGTTATTCTTTACCTATTTCCTCTGCAGACAGGATGTGAAGACTTTCCATATACCAAAGAAAAACTAGCACAGTCTTCTCACATTGCAATTGCTCCTACACAGAGTGCAGCGGGAGGGTGTCCTGAGTAATCATGAAATATGTTCTACTCTTCATCCTTTTAAAAAACAAAAAGCATTTCAATTGAAGATTCCTTAAATCCTAGTTATTTCTGTTTATTTCACTTGTTTTATAGTAAATATTTGCTAGGAATATTTAAAACACAAGAGTGTATACATATATGTGTTGTAGAATATTATTTTAAAATGTGTTACTTTTGTTTATGTTGCATTTGTTTAACTCTGTGAAACTGTGTTGCTTTGCCTGTCTAAAACACCTGATGGTCTAATAGAGAACTGAATGGCTAATAGCAAGGCAGGAGAAAGGATAGGTGGGGCTGGCAGGAAGAGAGAATATATAGAAGGAGAAATATGGGAAGAAAGAAGAAGAGGTAGCCAGAGAAGGAGGAGGACTCCAGGGGCCAGCCACCCAGCTATGCAGCAAACCACAGAATAAGAAAGAAAGGTATAAAAAATAGAGAAAGGTGAAAGCCCAGAGACAAAGGACAGACAGGTGAAAGCCAAGAAAAGCTGGCAAGCCAAGCCAAGCTAAGGCTGGGCATTCATAACTAAGAATAAGCCTCTGCATGTGATTTATTTGGGAGCTGGTTGGTGGGCCCCAAAAAAGAGTAAAAATAACATATGTGATATAAATACAAAGTTGGATTTATAATTTCCATTCTTCACTACAATTATGATTAAGTTTTATAGGTAGAAGGTAATCCTGGACTTAACATCTGTGTGACATATAAAGGAATAATCTTGACAATAAGTTGCATTAAGTATTTGTTTTATTTTCTTAAAGATACAAGTAATACTGAAGTATGAATAATATAGTATTAAGAATAATTACTAGGCCATTGTCTCACTTTGGTGACTTTCTTTTTCAGGCCCAGTAATGATGGTTTGAAAGCAGACATGCTGATTAAATTTCAGTTTCCCCTTAACAATGTGGACACTTTGAAAAGACAAGCTGATAGCATTTTGCACAAGAAGTTGCAATCTCCCGAGATCTTCTTGAAGAGAGACATTTCATTACCATATCTTAGAGGCAAGGAAGACTACTTTTTTCTTCTCACAATAGTTAACACTTTTAACTGTCTTCTGTCTACAGAGAAAGCTTCTTTATTTCACTATAAAACAAAACCATTTTTATTCTAGGTCTCTGAGTCACAAATGAACAGCTTCTCACTCATTTGGCAACAAAGATTATCTTCCCTTGGTTGGTATGAAAATAGTTATAAGAACTGTATAATTACTCAAGTATAAAAACACTTTTCTCTTACTAAAAGAAACATAGGCATCACCTTTTTAATTAAGTAACAGTGTGCATGATATTTAAAAACAACCTAACCTCCACTATTGGTACACTAATCTCTAAATTTTTTTTGGCAATGTTTTCCCCATCTGAATCTAGAATGTGAAGGTAATATGAACACACACGCACAAAAATAATATATAAAGGACAAACATGATCTGAGCTTAAGTGGAGCTCGTTTTAGGTTAACATACTCTTCCCACAGCACACAGGATCAGCTTGGCCTGGGACATAGAGTGAGCTGAAAAAAAATTCCAAGCCTTGCTAGGATGTATCTCAGCCATTAGAAAACAAATAAACAAATAAAAATCTATTTCACTTTCAACACAGACATAAAGAGGTAGTTCATAAAAATTTGGTATATGAGATTTTAAAAAGGGTTTTATAATTCTCAGACAGCCTCTAAATTAATTTAGGGATTGTCATAGCTTATCAGAATTTGTTTTAGATACAAAATGAGATAGAAAGCTAACAGCAAATTACAAGCTACCAGTGTATCTCCCCCCATTAGTTTCCCCCCAAATTGTTAGAGAGTGATTATGATATATCAAAAGGAAAGTTATATTTTGCTTTTGCCAAATGGAAAGATCACAAAGCCTAGCACGTATCCTTCCCCAAATTCTGAAGTCTTTCACTGTTTTGTCTTCTTTATAACTTCTAGAGTTCTTTTACTGTAATAATTTTTTTTTTTTTGGAGCTGAGGACAGAACCCAGGGCCTTGTGCTTGCTAGGCAAGCGCTCTACCACTGAGCTAAATCCCCAACAATAAATAATTTTGATATCAAGTCCCTTATATAAAATGTTACAGTATTGCTGTACGATGTATACAGGTCTCCCCAATGCGCTTTGTCTGTGTGTTTGTGTGTGTGTGCGTGTGCATGTGCGCACACGCACACACACACGTGTACATGCATGTTATTGTGTCAGAGCTTAAACCCAAGACCTTGGGCATGCTAGGTGAAATACTCTAGTCCCCTCATGTACTTTAAAAAACTTGTAGATTACTTTTAATACCCAATGTAGCATGAATTATATGTAAGTACTTGGTATACTATATTGTTTATGGAATATGATGGGAAAATATGTCAGATTCAGTGTTCATCAAATATTTCTGACTGTAAGTTAGTTGAATCCACTGTTGTAGAATAGATCAATACAGTGTGGACTGCAGCTAGTTGCATTTATAGAAGATGAAAAGAGGAAAGTAAGTCTGTACAATCTTGGCCCAGAACTGGTTTTAAACATTTTTATTTAGGTAAGAAGGGCACATGTATTGAGTCATGCCTCTGTATGAGAAAACAGCTCCATCATAGAAGTAGATCAACTTGTTCCTTAATAGAGACCAATATAGGATAAAGTTATAAATAAGCTACAAATTAACCATAATCCACTCCCCGTGGTTTATGGTCAAAAAGAGGGTAGGACTAAAGTACACTTGACTTTCAGGTGTAGGATGAACTGACCTTGAGACTGCTGCCTCCACAAATATTAAATCATGTTTCTGTAGACTTATATCATGGTATCACTACAAAGATATAGTAAGCAAATAGGTGTTGGTTACAGTACATATCTTACAGAACTCAATCAAGTATTGGTCATAATTGCTATTCATCTATTCACTCAGCAACTATGTATTGAAAATTATTTCTTCCAGGAACTGAAATCTCTGCACACCTAGAGCCAATATTCTTTTTTTTTTTTTTTTTTTTTTTTTTTTTTTTTTGGTTTTTCGAGACAGGGTTTCTCCGTGTAGCTTTGCGCCTTTCCTGGAACTCACTTGGTAGTCCAGGCTGGCCTCGAACTCACAGAGATCCGCCTGGCTCTGCCTCCAGAGTGCTGGGATTAAAGGCGTGCGCCACCACCGCCCGGCTAGAACCAATATTCTTTTTTTTCTTTTTTTTAAATTTTATTTTACAATATAATTTAATTCTAGATATCAGCCACGGATTCCCTTGTTGTCCCCCCTTCCACTCCCCCACCCCTGCCTTCCCCCCAGCCCATCCCCCATTCCCATCTCCTCCAGGGCAAAGACTCCCCCGAGGACTGAGATCAACCTGGTAGACTCAGTCCAGGCAGGTCCAGTCCCCTCCTCCCAGGCTGAGCCAAGCATCCCTGCATAAGCCCCAGGTTTCAAACAGCCAGCTCATGCACTGAGTACAGGACCTGGTCCCACTGCCTGGATACCTCCCAAACAGATCAAGTCAATCAACAATCAACTGTCTCACCCATTCAGAGGGCCTGATCCATTTGGGGGCCCCTCAGCCATTGGTTCATAGTTCATGTGTTTCCATTTGTTTGGCTATTTGTCCCTGAGCTTTATCCAACCTTGGTCTCAACAATTCTCGCTCATATAAACCCTCCTCTTTCTCGCTAACTGGACTCCCAGAGATCCACCCGGGGCCTAGCCATGGATCTCTGCATCCAGATCCCTCAGTCATTGAATGGGGTTTTTAGCACGACAATTAGGGTGTTTGGCCATCCCATCACCAGAGTAGGTCAGTTCGGGCTGTCTCTCGACCATTGCCAGCAGTGTATTGTGGGGGTATCTTTGTGGATTTCTGTGGGCCTCTCTAGCACTTTGCTTCTTCCTATTCTCATGTGATCTTCATTTACCATGGTCTCCTATTCCTTGTTCTCCCTCTCTGTTGTTGATCCAGCTGGGATCTCCCGCTCTCCCAAGCTCTCTTTCCTCGACCCTCGCCCTTCATTACCCCCACTCATGTCCAGGCTGTTCCTGTAGATCTCATCCATTTCTCCGTCATTGGGCTATTCCCGTGTCTTTCTTGGGGTCCTGTTTTCCAGGTAGCCTCCCTGGTGATGTGAGTAGCAGTCCAGTCATCCTTGTTCCACATCTAGTATCCTCCTATGAGTGAGTACATACCATGTTTGTCTTTCTGAGTCTGGGTTACCTCACTCAGGATGATTTTTTCTAGATCCATCCATTTGCCTGCAAACCTCATGATGTCATTGTTTTTCTCTGCTGAGTAGTATTCCATTGTGTATATGTACCACATTTTATTTATCCATTCATCAGTTGAAGGGCATCTAGGTTGTTTCCATGTTCTGGCTATTACAAACAATGCTGATATGAACATAGCTGAGCAAGTGCCCTTGTGGTATGATTGAGCATTCCTTGGGTATATGCCCAAGTGTGGTATAGCTGCATCTTGGGTGAGATTGATTCCCAATTTTCTTTTTTTTTTTTTTGGTTTTTCGAGACAGGGTTTCTCTGTGTAGCTTTGCGCCTTTCCTGGAACTCGCTTTGGAGACCAGGCTGGCCTCGAACTCACAGAGATCCGCCTGGCTCTGCCTCCCAAGTGCTGGGATTAAAGGCGTGCGCCACCACCGCCCGGCGATTCCCAATTTTCTAAGAAAGCGCCATATTGATTTCCAAAGTGGTTGTACAAGCTTGCATTCCCACCGGCAGTGGAGGAGAGTTCCCCTAGCTCCACATCCTCTCCAGCATAAGGTGTCTTAGCCATTCTGACAGGCGTAAGGTGGTATCTCAGAGTCGTTTTGATTTGAATTTCCCTGATAATTAGGCATGTTGAGCAATTCCTTAAATGTCTTTCAGCCATTTGAGTTTCCTCTGTTGAGAATTCTCTGTTTAGTTCTATAGCCCATTTCTTAATTGGACTGTTGGGCATTTTGATGTCTAATTTCTTGAGTTCCTTATATATTCTGGATATCAGTCCTCTGTTAGATGTGGCGTTGATGAAGACCTTTCCCATTCTGTAGGCTGTCGCTTTGCCTTGTTGACCGTATCCTTTGCTCTACAAAAGCTTCTCAGTTTCAAGAGGTCCCATTGATTGATTGTTTCTCTCAGTGTCTGAGCTACTGGTGTTATATTTGGGAAGTGATCTCCTATGCCAATGCGTTCAAGACTACTTCCTACTTTCTCTTCTAGCAGGTTCAGAGTAGCTAGATTTATGTTGAGGTCTTTGATCCACTTAGACTTAAGTTTTGTGCACGGTGATAGATATGGATCAATTTGCAGCCTTCTACATGTTGATATCCAGTTATGCCAGCACCATTTGTTGAAGATGTTTTCTTTTTTCCATTGTGCACTTTTCGCTTCTTTGTCAAAAATTATATGTTCATAGGTGTGCGGATTATTGTCAGGGTCTTCAATTCAATTCCATTGGTCCACATGTCGGTTTTTATGCCAGTACCAAGCTGTTTTTATTACTGTAGCTCTATAGTAGAGCTTGAAGTCAGGGATCATGATGCCTCCAGAGGTTGTGTTATTGTACAGGATTCTTTTGGCTATCCTGGGTTTTTTGTTTTTCCATATGAAGTTGAGTATTATTCTTTCCAGGTCTGTGAAGAATTGTGTTGGTATTTTGATGGGGATTGCATTGAATCTGCAGATTGCTTTTGGTAAGATTGCCATTTTTACTATGTTAGCCCTGCCTATCCATGAGCATGGGAGATCTTTCCATTTTCTGACATCTTCTTCAATTTCTTTTTTAAGGGAATTAAAGTTCTTGTCATATAGGTCCTTCACTTGCTTGGTTAGTGTTACCCCAAGGTATTTTATATCGTTTGTGGCTATTGTAAAGGGTGATGTATCTCTGATTTCCTTCTCAGCTTCTTTGTCCATTGTATATAGGAGGGCTACTGATTTTTTTGAGTTGATCTTGTATCCTGCTATGTTGCTGAAGGTGTTTATAAGCTGTATCAGTTCCTTGGTGGAATCTTTGGGGTCACTCAAGTATACTATCATGTCATCTGCAAATAGGGAAAGCTTGACTTCTTCCTTTCCAATTTCCTTATTTCGTCTTATTGCTCTGGTTAGAACTTCAAGTACTATATTGAATAAGTATGGGGAGAGTGGACAGCCTTGTCTCATTCCTGATTTTAGTGGAATTGCTTTGAGTTTCTCTCCATTTAATTTGATGTTGGCTGTTGGCTTGCTGTAAATTGCCTTTATTATGTTTAGGTATGTTCCCTGTATTCCTGATTTTTCCAAGACCTTTATCATGAAGGGGTGTTGAATTTTATCAAATGCCTTTTCTGCATCTAGTGAGATGATCATGTGGTTTTTTTCTTTGAGTTTGTTTATATGGTGTATTACATTGATGGACTTTCATATGTTGAAACACCCTTGCATCCCTGGGATGAAGCCTACTTGTTCATGGTGGATAATTGTTTTGATGTGTTCTTGGAGTCTGTTTGCCAGTATTTTATTGAGTATTTTTGCATCAATGTTCATGAGGGAGATCGGTCTGTAGTTCTCTTTCTTTGTTGTATCCTTGTTTGGTTTAGGAATCAGGGTAATTGTAGCCTCTTAGAAGGAGTTTGGTAATGTTCCTTCTGTTTCTATTATGTGAAACAATTTAGAGAGTATTGGTATTAACTCTTCTTTGAAGATCTGGTAGAATTTTGCGCTGAAACCATCTGGTCCTGGGCTTTTTTTGGTTGGGAGACTTTTAATGACTGTTTCTATTTCCTTAGGGGTTATTGGACTATTAAAATAGTTTATCTGGTCTTGATTTAACTTAGACATGTGGTACCTATCCAGAAAATTATCCATTACTTTTAGATTTTCCAGTTTTGTGGAGTAGAGGTTTTTGAAGTATGACCTGATGATTCTCTGGATTTCCTCAATGTCTGTTGTTATGTCCCCCTTTTCATTTCTGATTTTGTTGATTTGGATGCTCTCTCTCTGTCTTTTGGTTAGTTTGGATAAGGGCTTGTCTATCTTGTTGATTTTCTCGAAGAACCAACTCTTTGTTTCATTATTTTTTTGTATTGTTCTCTTTGTTTCTATTTTATTGATTTCAGCTCTCACTTTGATAATTTCCTGGCATCTATTCTTCCTGGGAGACTTTGCTTCTTCTTGTAGAACCAATATTCTAACTGAAAGGAGAAAGACAGTGAATAAACTGGACAACAACAAATAATGTGGAATTCCATGAGAGAGTAGAGCGCAACATGAGACTTCAGCTTTCTTTGTCATGGAAAGAGGGAAGGAGTCTTTTAAGTTGAGATCTGAAAGACAGAAAACCCATCAGGAAAAGGCCATTAGTAAAGTGTTCTGATGAAGTAGGCAGCTAGATGGTAAAAAAATTGCCAGCAGAAACAACACCTGAACACAGTCAAGACCTTGCAAGCCAAGAGTAAGGAGGAGGAGCAGTTCAGTGACACTGAGGACATATTAGGGTCCTGGCCACCTAGGGCCAGCTAGGAAGTCTACATTTATTGTAAAGGTTAAGGAAGACATAAGAGGATATTTATTATTGACAGACCCTAATCCTAAGGATTTTCTATAATTAACTTCCTAACAGTGCTTCCAACCCAATGTCCCTTGAGTCTGACTGCTGAGAGCTGCTGGTTGCAATGGCTTTACCAGAGGCCATGGAAGTATATAGCATGTGATAACTAGTGTTCAGCAGTCAACCCACTAGATGAATAATTCTCTGATGGGGAGCCTCACTTGGTGAAGCCATGGGGTCACTTATTGTAAATGACTGATTGTTTCTGTCTGTAATTTCTCTCATGTGCCACACTACATTTCTTGCCTAATAACAGCTATGGGTATTCTCCCCCACTGCTTGTGTGTTTATCTTGAGAAAATATTTCATCTTTTGGGCACACATATAGCTGGGGATTTTCAGGAAGATTTCTGCATAATCTGTATATAATTCTGATGAATAGAAATAATGCTAGAATATATTTCATAACTGACATAGGAAAGTAACAGTGTTCTTAGTCACAAAGACAGCTAATTTTGGACTTCAGAACAAATTCAAAACAGACTAGCTGCCCCTGCAGAAAATACACAAATTCCCAGGTTTATTGCTGAACGAAGATCAGACATAAAGCAACTTTGGTAGCCATAACCCTCTGTAGTAATTGACTTTCTGTATGTATCCCTACCACTCAAGGTTCAGCCAACTAATTGTTTATTGCTTAGGTCCTATGTTTCAATGTCACTTTCTGTCTGGGAAAGAGCTATGTGCATGGCCAAGTGTTGCTCACTGGCCAGTCTGTGTGATCTCCCTAGCTTAAGAAAAAACGGTGTGATTTATCATGTGTTATGAGAATGGGTTGGACCCTGAAAATGTAACTTATCATTGTCCAGAGTTGGGCTGTTGAGGTGAGTGAGGTGTGTGTGTGTGTGTGTGTGTGTGTGTGTGTGTGTGTGTGTGTGTGCTGAAAGAGAGATGTAGCTGAGTGGGTAGAGCGATATAGAAAATATAGTTGTGTCGAAGAGAAACATGTATGTAGGAGAGGTGTATGTGATATGAGATGCATAGCTGTGGCTGTGTGGAGATTTGTAACTGGGGAGACAAGGAAAATGAAGCTGTATAGAAGAGATGTAACTGTATATAGAAATGTATGGCTGTGCAGGAGAGAGATATATGAATGTATGGAAAAGGAGACATAGCTGTAAGTAAAGAATGTAGCTGTGTGGAAATAGATTTCCAGAAAGAGATTTCTTAAGTTGAAGTAAAAAAGAAAGTTATCATCAGAAAGCATGTGTTTCCTTATTTAATCCTCAGTTGAAAAAAAATTTAGCCTCCAGATAGATAAGAATTTTTTTCTAAAGTCCCACTACTCTGAGGCATTCTATACACAGCTCTAGAGTAGTTCTTGGAGCTGGACTCCCGGACTGTGTTATCTGACCTAAAGACCTGACACTGAAATGCCAGACTAGTTTTTGTCTGAATATACTTGACTCTGAGTCTCACTACAATGCTGGCATAAAGTGAAATACAAGTGACTTGGGAAGACAACCACAGATTATGCCATTTTCTATTTTGGCTTATGAATAGAAATGATAACATGTTGGATGCAGGTAGAATTTGATACAATTGTAAAAAATCTGTGGGCCAGTCCTAGATGCCAGGCATGGAAGACAGTTTGAACACTTGTACTATATAGTATCATGCAAGTAAGGATGTTGTAGGGCACATGTAAAAATGGCCCTACACACCTTTTATTTAATTTCTACTTCAATAAATTGGTATGACATTAGTCTTTTAGACAAATAATGTCTGTCTTTGTCAATGACTTTGTAATAATCCCAGGATCTTCCTGAAATCTATGTACAATCAGAATCTTAATTGATATTACGTTGGCTTTCCTCACTAGTACAGTTTTTCCCAATCTAAGGATTTCATGCCATGTAGGCATTGTATTTTAAATTATAGCAGTTATGTCACTGAAAAAATGACCTTGATTTCACTTTTTTTCCAGAAATGAATGCAGCACAAGCAGAGAATATTCTAAACAGTGGTAAGTCCACAATTGCCACTGATACATTATTAAATCAAAGAATCACGCTCACAACACCCTTTCTCCGTCATCATGTGTGCCATTTCTCAACACCTACCGTGTTTCTAGAGGGATATGTGGCCTACTTTTAATCAATGAGAAAATTACTAATAGTTAGACTTGCTTTCATGAATTCTATGCTGTATTTTCTCTTTCAGTAGTAAGATTTCCTGCTGACCTCTTTAACAATTTCCTTGAATTTTTCCAGTTTATTTTTATTTGGCTTACTTTGTTAAAATCTAAAATTTTTCATAGATTTACATGAAAGCCACTAGCTATAATATGTAAAATAATATTTATTTAATGGATTTAGACATATTATGGATGTAATCTATCTGCAATAAATGTCAAATATCACTGGAGTAACCTGTTACACAGAACAGGACTCAGAAACTATGAAAAACTAATAACCAAGGAAAATTGCTTCAAATGCACTAAAGAAGATGATAGCTAACTTTTAATTATTAGTGACTTAATTACAAAACATGCACACTCAATCGACTTGACTATCCATCACCCTCAGAATGTTTACTGTTAATTTCAATCACTATTTTAAAGGCAAGACACATCCTTAAATGTTTTCATGCTTAACTATTTGCTGAAGACATCCAGACACATGTATAACCCTCTGCAAAGAACCACGTTCTTTCTTTCTGGCTGGCAGACTGTGGCTTGGGGAGGGAGTACCCACAGACAGCCAGAATCGCTGATGGCAAAGCTGCAGACAAAGCTTCCTGGCCATGGCAAAGCAGCCTGCAGGTGGATGGCGTCCACCTCTGCGGTGCGTCTCTGATTGGCTCCCAGTGGCTCCTGACCTCTGCTCACTGCTTTGATACGTGAGTCCTCGGGTTCCTCTCTTGAGGCCCCCAGCCCCACTGCTTCTCACATTCATGTCCCATCATCCTTACCTCTTCTTCATCCTTTCCATGAACATCGTAGCCCCCTGTTGACAGGAGTAGAAAAGAATACCAATTACTAAAGAGTAGGGCAAAGAGTAGGTTGCTTTCAATTCCAACTGAATACATATTGTGTAATAATCTCAGTTTTAACTATAAGCAAGTTAACGGTGAAAAATCAACTATGTTCACCAGTTTTCCTGAAATACATTGAGGTTTTCTTTTAGTTCCATTAATTATATCCCAATCTACAATTCACATCTGATATTCTACATGAATATCATTGGTTATATGTTTTTATCTCTGTATGACTATTGAAGATTTGACATATGGTACTGTTGGAGAAAAAAAAGGAAATATGATAACTCTAGTGAAATTCAAATAAAATGGGGAAATATTCTGGATAAAATGCCCAATGGAAAAGAATCATTAGAAAAACATACAAAATATGGGTACAAATTTATCTTTCTTCTGTGTCTCTGCCTTTTTTATCTTTTTTTGTCTATGTCTTCCTCTTCCTGTACCTTTGAATAAAAATATATAACTGTGCATGATTATAGGTATGTATATTTACAGAAATATATATACATAATTATATCTAGCATTTTTATTTTCTTCAAATAATATATTTTTATAATAAAATAGCAGTAATGTATTATTTCCTTAAGAATGCATATTCATCCTCAAAGAGAATAACTAAACCTATTTTGTAATAGAATATTTCTTATCAACTAGAATGCAGACTATGAGGATGGGAAAGCCTAAAAACAAGATAGTGGGAAAGACCAAATCAACTATGACCTTAAAGAATTTGCCCTTCTCCTATGTTTATGTTCCATTGCCCATCCAGAATCCTGGGCAATTCTAGACCAGAAATGACCCCACTATGCTCCTTTTAATTTGTGATCAGTTACAAAAACCCCAAACTGTGGACAGTCAGTTTTGGAACAACCCTAAGCCGTCCACTGACGACAAGAAAGATGGCGTCCATCATCATTCATGAGAACTATGCAGCCCACAAGCATGACGATGATATTGCTGTGGTCAAGCTCTCCAGCCCAGTCCTGTTTTCCGAAAACCTGCGCAGAGTCTGTCTCCCTGATGCTACCTTTCAAGTCTTGCCAAAGAGTAAAGTGTTTGTCACAGGATGGGGAGCACTGAAAGCAAACGGTGAGTACCTGAGAAAAACAAGGATGCCAACAATGCAAACCTAAGCTGCTTCTTCTGCGTGGTAATTTCCAATGAAATGCAAAGTATAAATCAAGATAATCCCATGAAAAATCACAGCAAAAATATGAAAACTTCAGCTATAAACAGTGTTCTTACACTTATATTTAACACAGTAGTTAATGTAGTAACAAAAATAGCCATTTTACAGACTATTTTCATACTTTCAGAACTTTCTTTTTGAAGCTTATCAGAGGGTATTCTTTCATATATCCTTTCAGCCCCCATCTTTCATATGGAGTGAGTCGGTTCTGTCTGTCTGACTCACACAGTTTGTAAACACTAATCATGATGAGCTCCATGATGGGCCAAACTGTAAACAGAAGTGGCTTTGACCAAGGAATCCAAATAGCTATTCTTGCCTGACATTAAATATTAAATGGGAGCCGCTGATCCATATATCTCTGAGGTTGGTGGCAATATCAAGTTGAGGCATATAACATTTTGCTCCACTGAATAATGCCCAATAAACAGCAAGCACAGATTTTTAGCTGTGGGCGTGAGTCTTGGGTTTCTATGCTTCTTCTTTATTGTCATCTTCTTTCTTTTCCTCCGCCTTTAGTTTTTAATTGAAAATGGATTCTTATACCATACAATATATCCAGACCACAGCTTTCCCTCCCACCACTCCTCCTAGCTCTCTCCCCACCTCCCTTTTCCCCAGATCCACTAAGCCTCCAATTCAGAAAATTCCTCCAAGAGACAATCACCAAACAGGTCAAAACAAGATACACTAAGACAAGGCAAAAGCCCTCATTTGAGGCTGGACAAGGCAACCCAATAGGAGGAAAAGAGTCCCAAGAACAAGTAAAAGAGTCAGAGACATACCTGCTCCTACTGTTAGGAATCCCCACAAAAACACCAAGCTAACAGCTGTAGCATAGATGCAAAGACCTCTAAGTCCCTGAGTTCTTAATTATGCCAACTCTTTTATGAAAAGAAATAGAATTTCATATGAATGACATTTTTAATTGAAGCTGTTAAATGAAAACATAGTGGCTTAAAATAGTATTACATTCAAGTAAGTGGCATTTTTGTATTACAATTCATGCAAATGAATCAATCAGTGTTGTTAGTGAAGAAGATAGATTGGGTGTGTTATCTTCCTATTTGTACTGGTGTTTGTTTTGAACAGCAAGCCATATTATTTCCATTGTACACATCATCCTTCTCATGAAGCTATTGGATCCCATAGAATGAAACTTGATTCTTGGTAATCCTATTCTTTCTAAATGATTTATAATTTGGAAATGTCTATGTCTTTGTAAAGGATGCTATGGGAATCTGGGTAGATTCCAGGTGTGGAAAAACAACTTGTTTTTAAACTGGCATTGTTTATGTGATTATTCAGCCATGTAATCATGGCAAGACTCTTAACCAGGTGAACTTCAATTTTTCCAACTAAAATCTAGAATACTTATATCTATCCTTGGTAGTTTTTTCAAGGACCAAATAGATAACAGTAATAAGTGTGCCAAATATGGTATCTATACACAGAAGTCGCCATAAAGTGTAACTGATCCTGAACACTGTCATCCAGTCCCAAATTCTGTAACTTGAAAACTGATGTTTGAGCTCATGTCATAATAATGAGACTTCCAACAATTCCTCATCTATTTATTGTTTCCCTATTTAGGTCCCTTTCCCAATTCTCTGCAAGAAGTTGAAATAGAGATCATAAGTAATGATGTATGTAACCAAGTTAATGTATATGGTGGTGCTATATCATCAGGAATGATATGTGCTGGATTCTTGACAGGAAAACTAGATGCCTGTGAGGTAAGTATATTCTAATCCACAAAAATGACTCTACTCAGTTAGGATGAAATAACTGATCACAGAGTAATATCATTAAATATAGTTCCAGAAATTAACTTGTGGAGGAAAGAGGAGATGTGAAGAGGGACTGAAGAACACCAAGACATATAGCTCCTCATGAAACACCATATTGAACAGAGATATCTAAACAAGGATTTCAGTTGCAAATCAGAACTCTTAGTAGAGATCAAAAATTCAGATAGACAGTAGAAAATGAGCATGAAGCCACAGAATAAAGCTAAGTCTACTAAACTTTGAATATCTCATTCCTATTAAGTTCAAGCCACTGTGAGACAAGATCTGCTGATATTTGTACTTAAATAGCTTGTGCCCAAATAGAATTACACTATTGAAAAAAATAATTACCTGCAGTCATTCCTATAAATGTAGTACATCACAGATCATTTTTCAAATTATACAAGTAGCATTTCTTCATACTTGCAACACATTAATTTTAAGCACTAAGCATTATCAGTTCCAAATATGGCTATTTGAAGAACTAAAAATAACTAACAAATTAAAGAAGTGACTTAAAGCATTTGTGACTGGGCACAAGAACATAGTGATTCCTTGATGAATTAATATTAGCTCTGATAGCTTGGCATGTGTGTGACATTTGTTGTATGAAAAGGTATCACTGTTGACCTGACATTGGCTGTCATACAATGTTAATGAATATTTGTTCATTTATTCAACTTTTTGTGAATCACAGGTTACTGTGGACATTACTGAGAGAAACTAAAATTTAAAAAAATGCAATGATTTTGCAATTTCATTAGGGCACATGTTACTATAGCAAAGGAAGAAATTCAGGCTTTAGCTACACATTCTAGAATACAAGGTATCTTTCCAATCCCTCCCTGAGAAGGAGAAACAAGATGTAAATCCAACATACAATGGAATCACATGACTTATAGAATAAACATGATACGCTCCAGAGCCGACATTGTTGTCTTACTGGCTCATGCTTCCTCTTGCCATTAGAACAGTAAGAGCATGAGGATCTGAATAACAATGGAGGCCTATGGGAAAGGAGCTGAGGAGGAGGATTGCCTTTAATAGATCAGTGTGTTCATACTGTGCACCAGACACTGGAAGAGACTAAGAATAGGAGGAATGTAGAAAGGAGGGAGCCTCAAAATTTCTTCAGGAGCCTCTGCCTCCTCCAAACTCTACCATTTCCCTCATTTTAAGAAAGTGTAATAAACTATCACCGGGTATTTTTTATTTTTGGAAAGGATAAAGTCATTAGTTAAAGATAGATTTTAAATCTTTTTTTTAAAATCTTAGGTTAAAAATAACTGAGAAATCCTTATGATTTAAGTATATAAAGGTGTTTATTGGGGACTCGCTTTAGCCTTTCAGTAATAAATATGGCACACTTGAAAGAACATTCCAGAACACCCTTCTACTGATTAGTAAGAGTGGAACAAGGTGAAAATCAAATATAAAACAAGGCATCACTTCTAGCTAATGGAGTTAAACAAGCTTCGTGGAAGAGTTAGCATGTTAGTTCCAGGTATGGGTTTATTAGGCAGTCAGGAGCCAATTAGCTCTCATTTCTGACACACTTTTATTTCTCACATTGGTTACATGTTTTTCCTCTTTTCTAGGGTGATTCTGGAGGGCCCCTGGTTATTTCAAATGATAGAAATATCTGGTATCTTCTTGGAATTGTTAGTTGGGGAATCGACTGTGGAAAAGAAAACAAGCCCGGAATTTACACCAGAGTGACTCATTATCGGAACTGGATTAAATCTAAAACTAACATCTAATGCAATAGCCACCCCTTATCCAAACTGAAGTGTCATACACGGCCTCTGGCAAATTGTATTCAGTGTTCATTGCCATGAACATGGTCATCTAGTTCAAAATGCAAATGAGCATGATGTGGTGACCTTCTTAAATCAGAAGGGCACAAGACTTTCTTTCACATCATTGGAAAGTTTCCACCAACCATGATCACAAAAGATGTCCTCTGTTCCATGAAGATCTACATTCCACAAAGTGTCTAATTAACTCCCTGCTCACCTCTGTTTGCCTACTTCATACTTTTTCAACTTACAGTAATCTGGAGGTTGAATAAATACTAACTGAGCAGCTACCCACTGCTTCTCTCCAGACCCTTCTCTCGTGCCGCCTCAGTTTTTATCTTCTTCATAGACAATCCTCACTGGCGATTGGTTGGTCCACTGACTAGACATGCCAAGTTAATCAGTCTAAGCCACTGGTGACAAATGATGGAGAAGTCACTAGACATGAGGCTAGGACTTAGGAGATGGCAATGAGCAGGTCCATTCCTTTTCATCTTCAGATACGCTTTTAACCGTTCTCTGAACCTCTGTATTTGTATTTTTGTATATTTTACTTAGACAGTTTATCTGACACATATTTTGAAGCAGTGGGTGAGATTTTTTAATCACATAAGAGAAGAATTAGAGAAATTTCCTTGTATAAATACCTTTTTATACTTGGAAATTAAAAGTGATGTTTTGGCCTCTTTCATTCATGAAAGGTAAATGAGTAAGAGTCTAATAAGTTACTCTCAGTTCCATCTCTAAATTGAGAGATGTTTCAATTCTTGTATATGTTTCAATTCTTGTATAAATTTATTTCTTTAATTGTAGTTTATATTCTCTTAATTCATTTTACTTAAACAGTTTTATTTTCAACCAGGTTTAGAACAACTAAGTACCTATAAGATGAGAAGTCAGCATAAATTAATTCCAAGAAAATATAAATATCTGACATGTGAAGCTAAAGCCTCAGTAGACAGTCATAAAATATTTGATACAAAGTGTTAGTAAAGATGTTGTTGTGCATTGTTTGAATTTATTGTTAAACAGCAAGTATTCTGCAATAGAATATTTAAATAAAATATTCAAATAATCAAGAAAACATCTTTAGAATACCTAAGTTTTGATGATAAAATTGTCATTTTCACATGTATTTAGTTGCACATTTTGTAGTCTTACCTGGGAGTATAGAGTAGTATTGAACCAAACTCAGAATTACTCTGTACATCTTTACCCTCCTTTTATAATTGGTGAGTTAACTGCTGTGTTTTCATTGGGGTTTTGTATTGAGTCTTGTTTAACACATCACACTTGTACATATTGAAATGTATTTATGATAATAAACCAAATTTGTTCTCTCTGTGTTGTCCCTGAGGGATTGTTCAACTTTCATGTTGCTGACATTTTGTCACAGATGCTTCTTTGTTTGGGAAAGGAGGGAGATCATTACGGGCATGGCAGGCCACTTGGTGACATTCCTTCTACATCTGAGATGCCTGGAGGACACAGTAACCTCCCCCCCCCCCCACACACACACACATCCACTCCCCTCCTCAGCTTTTCTTCTACAAGTTGTAACATTCAAAACTAGCCCTAGACAGCTACAACATGTTCCCAGTAGAGCAAGATTGCCTTCAGTTAAGAACAGCTACTTTGAAATCATTAGTGGAAAAAGTCACTACAAAAATTAATGTATTCAAGGTCTCCTTACCAGCATTTGGAAATATTATTTTATCTTACTTTTAATAATGTCAGTACATTTAAATGATAGTAGTGTCTATGACCCCATCATATATACATAACACTAGCCAAATGCAGATCTTTTGGAAACTGAATTTGTTTGGAAGAAGTTAAAAGAAGATCCATATGCAAACAATCCATAGACAGACAGACAGACAGACAGACGACAGTGAGGAACTGATGAGGTGCAATGGAATTACCTTTCAGATTCCTAAGTGATAATTAGCTGCTACAAGTATGATTTTGGGTCAAATACATTAAGTATCACTTGAAATGGCATTTATGGATTCAGCCGAGGCAGAACGGCTCAGCTTGTCACCCACTAACACTGCAGAGTAGAGAAACTTACAAAGAATCACTAAGCCCTAAAAGATATTCTGTTCAATATGGTAGCCACTACCCAGATTTAAGCTGATTTTTAAAATTAAAATTTCATTTCCTCATTTGGACTAATGTTGTAAGCAAAAAAAAAAAAATAGCCATATGTGACTATATATATATAATACTCTTGCTTTGTCACCACAGGAAACTCTAATGGCTACAACTTGACTCGACTATCCTAGGAAACACCTATATGATCACTTATTCATTCATCTAACAAATTTATTGAACCTATGAATGGAAGTTCCTGTAAATAAAAAAAAAAAGTCACAGCTGTGTTAAAGATTCTAAGAGTTTGATTAACTTACTATAAAGTCTATGAGTACAGAGAGTTGGAATGTTGCAGGTCCAATTATCTGCATTTATCTTGAGCCTCCTTAGAAGCCATTCATTGCCCACCTCTGTGTGTGAACTAACATCCTTGTGGCTAATACGTAAACTTTCCTAGAATATACTAACCGACCACTAGCTTCCATGAACCCAAAAGCTAAGGATGTCATCAGATAGCTTCTGAGGCCTACCAGAGAGTCTTCCCTGTTTTGAGGTAACTAGCTACCTAAAAGTCTCATCAAAATATTTTATTGCCTTAATTTCTATCTTCCTTTTGTTCTATAACTATTAAAATTTAACAAACCAGCTACCACAGTAGAACATGGCTTTCAGCATAACTTGAATATATATTCCCAGGTCGTGGGCACTCATATTTGGACCAGAATACACTATATCATGTTCTCTCTGAGGTGAGAGCTGTGTTTCTGTGTTAATTACCTCCATAGGGTAGGTATCAGGTATTCCAGATGTTGTGTATGCAGCTGTGTTCAAAACCAGGTCTCTACTCTCCAGACCATCAAAGGAGTTAATGGTATTTTGGATAACTGCCACCTCAGCAGTAGGCCCCCTGAGGGATATGTGTTGGCTAGCATGCCAAGGACACGTTTAGATTCTTCTTCTGGTAGCCATTGCATCAGAGGAAAGGAAACTCTTCCAGATGTAGTAACACAGCCCCATACCACAGGCGAGGCTGAAGTAAAATACTCAGAAGAGAAGTTTTGACCTGCTTTAGAAAAAGATCAAAGAATATGGCCAATTAATGGCATATTAAAAATTAAAAAGTTTATTTATTTATTTTTGTAAATTGACAAACTATTTCTTAACCCAGGAAGTGGTATTTATGGCAATCAAACAAAAGAGTAAGAATTAATGGAGGGACATGGAGGTAGTAGAAATGCTACTTAAGCAAGCAGCCAACCAAAACAAAACAAGAACTGTATCATACAATCTGTTAATAAGATTCTATTATAGTTATGTCTAGGAAATGGGAAAATAGCTCACCACTCCGGAGCACAGTTGTGTACAGAGGAGTAAAGACACATAAATCAAATGTGTTACTATAGTGCCATCTTCTGGCCCATCTTATTTTTTACAAAATACACTCCACTCCGTAATAAAATGCTATTATATAAGCTTTTCCCTGTAGAAGATGATATCTAAAAAGAATAATTCAACCTTCTCTCCCCTATGTTCTCTTAAGCAAATTGAAATGTAGAGTTTTGTATGTACTGTTACATGATCCTATTATGTAACAAACATAAAAAAGTATTCATATATTTACTTTTTATTTTTGAAATGAGATAATTTTATCCCTATACAGGACCTGTCAATCAAGTTCAGAGCTCATAGCCTTTATGTGTACTGTCCAAATCTGAACTCTGGTCTTCTTGCTTTTGTGGCAAACACTTTAACTGCTGAGCCAGCTCTCCAGCTCTGAGACTGCTTCTCTTGGGAGTTTATCAGGGTGATTCCCACAGGAAGAGCTAGTTGGTGCTGGACAGTCAGCAAATGGGAGTGAGCTGTCATAGTCACTGTGACCTGTAAGATCTCAAGCCTGGAATTCACCCCAAACCTGTTCCTTAAAACTCACCTTGACACAGGTAATGGGCAGGCTTGGCTCTTCCTCAGTTCACAGTGCCAGATAAAATAGCTGACTCCTCTTGGGAAACATGAAGTCATATTCCAAAATAAACACTTTGAATTTCCTCCTGAGAACAATAGAGGAGATAACACAGAGTCTCAGATGTTTGAGAATTTAAAACAAATAAGATATCAAAGCTTAAATAGATGAGGAAAGATATCACCTTGCTCACCTTGATCAAGAATGACATTGTGACAATAAGATGCATAAAAAGATGGAAATATTAGACCGAGAAATGAGAAAGGACAGCTGATGAGATTGGGAGCCTCACAGTTGCAATTAAGGAATGTATCAATGAATCGGAAGTTCAAAATGATGAGCTCCCTAGAAATGAAAATATAGAATATGTAAATGAAGCATATAATTTTCAGAGATACGAAAGACAGACACAGAAATGCCAAAGCCCTGTTAATAAGGGGCTCGGGGCCTGGAGCGGTGGCTCAGCAGTCTCCTCTGCTGTTGTATTAGTCACTCTTCTGTTGCTGGGAGAAAATATCACGGCAGAAAGCAGCTGAAGGAAGAAAGCTCCTCTTCAGCCTATGGTTCTCTAAGGATGGAGAACTCCTGATGGGAGAAGCCTGGCAGGAACCTGAAGCACAGAGGCCGTGTTCCACCCCCACACTGGAAGCAGAGAGAGAGAGAGAGAGCAGGAAGTGGGGTTCGGCTGTAACCCCTTAAAGCCTCACCCCAGGGACTGACTTCCTCCAGCGAGGCTGCACCTTCTCCAAGTCCTGTAACCTGCCAGAATGTTGCCACCAGCGGAGGACCATATGCTCAAAAATACAAGTCTATGGCGACATTTCTCATTCAAACCACCACAAATGTTGAATTCCATATCTTGAAAAATGCCCCCTAGTTAATGTTCTTTATTCTGTTATCCATTTCC